TAAAAAAAGTATGGCAGGCTGTGCCTTGCTAGTACTGTGAGTCCTGGGAGTCCATGGGTGGCACTGCAGCTCTGTGCTTCTCAAGCAGTGTTTTGGCTGACAGTGGAGTCCATGCAGTTGGTTGTACCACACTTGTGAGGGAAATGTGGAGTAAGTTCCTTACACCAGATGCAGAATCCCTTTTGGAGTCCATTTTACAAAAATCAGGTTCCAGATGCATTTTTTGGTTCCATTCATTTCACGTATGCAGCCATCTGCTGGGAAACCATCTTCTATCCTTCTCAATCTATAAGAGGATTACTTATTTTGAAAATGAATTTAGTTTTTCTAAATTACCCAACGATTTCATCTTTCTATATAAAAGCTGTGATTATTTAACTGCTAGTGAATTCTGAAAGTGTATTTACACTTTCCCTCATGCATCTTAATCATTCACACATCTTCACGCCAAGTACTACATTCTTCAGACTCAAGCTGCCACCTTCAAGCCACCCACGCATGGTGGTTTGGTATACTCTAGGTGTTTTTCTGACAGGTTTTTTTAATAAGCCAGTCCACAGAGGCAGGTGAATAAAACAGATTGTGAAAATTAAAGACTGATTTGCAAATTAAGCTGGCAGTTTTGGAGCTGGGGTTTGCCACTGCCTGGCTGGTGTAGGTGCCTGGTCATGCTGCCTCTTTGACCTCAAGTAGAGTGTTTTCTGATGTTCCTTCAGGGCTTTCTTCAGCTTGACTGGCAAGCCATACTTCCATGAGCAACCTACTAGTAGCTTCCTTTTGGCAACCTACTGTGAAATCTCACTCAAACAACTCTCTTTTCAGTCATCACAGACCCTGGGGTAACCTCTGAGTCAGCCACGGACCACTGTCTCAGCTTATATGGCCAGACACAATAGCAACCTCACTTACTGCCTGCTCTTTGCCAGCTCTCTGCTTTTTTCCCCTTACAGAGATAATGTTCTGTTCCATTTCTTCTCCATCCTCTTTTCACCTGGTCACTCACATTCTTGTTGCTGTCTTTATCAGTCTGTTTTCAGTTGTTTGTCAGTTATACAGTTTGTGCCAGTGAAGGGCTTTCCATGTTCTCTTCTGTGGAAGGATTTGGGATCTCGGAGCCCATAAAAATCTATACCTGCATTTAAGTTAACTAAAACATATACAACTTTGCAGGATCAAGGCCTAGTCTGGAAAATAATCTGTTGGAAATCTGATGTTAAATATTGTCTTGGTAGAGCATTAAGGCTTTTGAAACATGCCATCTTTTGAAACAGCTAACAATGGATCGAAGGTACTTTAAAAGTGGAAAATATGTTCGTTACGCAAGCTTTTAAAATATTACTTACCTGGCTGAAAAGTATTACATTCAAATAATATTTTTATATTATTTTATTTATGGGCTTATATTGTTAAGGATTTTGAGTCATTATCAGCAGGTTTCTGTGTTCCGTATTTCTATGAGTTTCAGTGGAAAAGAGAAAAATCTACTCCTTACAGCTTTATGCAGAAGACTGTCAAAGATACATTTGAGCCATTTCTTGACTGACTCGAATAATTAGAAAGTTTGTGGATAAAAGACTTTGGATTCACTACTGATTATTAATAAAACATTTGAAATGCACAGGAGTCTTTAAAAAAAAAGAAATCCAGAAACCCATCAGTTAAATCAATCTAATGTGACTCAGAGCTCATGATAGAAAGGATAAGATAGAAAGACTTTGCTTTCCATGACTTAACAGGATTATTACTGAATTAAAGTTTGGATTTTTTGTCAGAACGGAATTTTTTCCAGTATGTTTTGACAGAGCCTTCAGCAATAAGAAACTACTGACTATAGATACTCTCTGCCAGAATGATGAATCTATTTCCAGTAAGCTAGTTGCTTCATCTTGCTGGATATACTCTTGGGAATTTATCATGTAATTCCCTTAATCCAAACCAGTTGTGTACATATTTTGTAATTGATGAATTACTGACAGTAAATAAATACTCAAAAAAAAAATCAACTATTTGTTAAAGAAATACCATAATGTTTAACATTTTTTATGCCAGAACTTATCAGTCTTGTATTTACTGTGTCTTTTCACATGAACTGAAATGTAATCTAAACTTGCTGTTTACAATTATTACAGCACTGAATATATACCATCTCAGATAAGAATGCATTTACATTGCAACTGTATGTCAAATACTTTTATCAACACAGTGAGTAATACCAGATCACTAGTCCTTGAAATAACGTCATTAAATTTGTGAAGATTAAACAACTATTCTTCCATCAAATTCGGCTCTACGTTTAGATGAAATGCCTTGGTTAAGTCATGTCTTTGAAGGTTGGGTGTTACTTCCTTTAGCTCTGATTGTAGTTGGCAGTCATTATATGTTCTTTGTCTATTACTGAAATAGAACATCTATCTGCAGTGTACTCTCTGTCTTTTCGTCATAAATGGATGTAACTTTTGTGTGTTGGATGTATTTTGGTGTGTTGTTTGCATCTGATTAATTGGGTCTTACTGCTTTTATATGTGCATATATCTTATTCCTACTACTGAGTATATGTGATTGATGCACTGAAATGCTGTCTTCTGTACTGTGAATATTAATCAAAGGATTTGCTGCTCTGCTTAATGGCTTTGCAGTGCAGGAGGCAGACATAGACTAGTCTGCTTTTTTTTTGCTCTTTAATCATTGTTGTGTAAGACACTGGCAAGAACACTTCATCTATAAACACAATTTCATGCTTAAATATATCCAATGTTTGGTCAAAGTTATGAAATATTGTTGCTCCATTAAATTTTGTTTTCAACATTTCCTGGTAAAAGCAGTAATAGAAGAGATAAAATAGTAAAAGGAGATAATGAAGTATAAAAAAATATTAGGCATACCAGGCGAGGAATAAGCAGAAGGTGTGGAGTCAGTAAATTCAGCTTCGTGTGGTTTCAGGTCTTACAATTTGGACAAATTGTTTTCTTTAACCAAAGATACTGTGGTGAAAGGGGTAATTTGTGACCAACCTATTCTTAAAGAGAGCCAGTGTAGAAATTTGCTGCATTCTAATGTACACTTAAAACGTGTATAAGGTGGGTGTGACAGCTTCTTTGAGTGAGAAATTGAAAAACGTACTCAGTATTTAAAACAAGAAAGCCAATACATGTTTGTGGTGATAGTGGTACAGCTCAGTATCATAAGCAGCAAGCTTCTTGAAAACACAGCTCACATTTTTATGCATGTAGTTCTGATGTAAATGTTGATAGCTACAGTTTTAATCATCCTCCGTGAATCTCACCAGAAGGCAAATAGGAAGGCTTAGGCTTCAGGGTTTGTAGTATTTTACGAGGAGTTTTGTCTTAGTCTCCCCCTGCTTCCCTTCCCCTCCCCCCTGCCCCCACCCCTTCACAAAAATTCTCTAGAGTAGGGTCTTTCTCTAAATTACACTGTTAGGAAGGTTTCCCCCTAACACTGTCATTGGCTTAGCTGTACAACTAATAGAATTAGCAGAATTTGATGAAGAGGAGCTCCTCTTGCTGTTGCCTACTGCCTTTGAGCAGCAGGGCAGTCTTGCTAAAACCCTCCCAGAGTGGTAGAACATAAAAAATATAACATTATTTGTGTTTACTAATGTTCCACAGATGATTTTATTTTAATCTGTTATGAGTGTAAGCATTTTTTAATTCTTGCAGTTTCAGCACAGAAAACATGTTTCTGTTTTTGTTATAGATCATGATTTTTTAGTATTCTGGAGAGGCACAAGGAAGGAATCCCCCAACCTTTCTGCATTTTTGTATGATGTAATGTGTCCAAAGACAGGTTCATTTTTATGAAAAGTAGTTGAAAGCTAGATCAGTGAACCACGAAAACCTTTGCTTGTATCTAATAAACTTACTTGTCTCAGAGATGTATTTAAAGTATTTTCAGGAAACATCAATAAGAGAACGCTATGGCTTTAATAAAATACTGTCTTAGTCCAACATTATCTAGTGGAAATTAATCTGTTTTATTAGTTGAACACACATTTATCTGGTGTTGTACTGTCTCTCTCTGAACACCACATATAAATATTCCTCTTGCATTTATACATATATTTATATTTGAAATTATAGTCATGCTTTTGCAGAAATAGCTATTTGGACATAAATTTTTACTTACAGAATGTCTATATAAATTGAGTATTTATTTCAGATCCATGTCAAAAAGGTAGAACTTCTACATTTTCAAAATCCTTTCTCCTGGATGAAGGCCATTTCCACTGTTTTAATTCATGCAAGCATCTGCTTCTGTGATTTGAGTCTGCTTTTTCAGTTCTGATAATGATTATTCCCACATTCTCATTGTTTGTCAATTCTGGAAAGTTACTTGTTAGTCCAACTAAGCAACCTCCACATGTCTGGTTAATGTGTCTGCTTACTGACCTTCTGTAAATGCTGATCTGCCAAAGAGTTTTTTTAACATGAGATAAAGCTAACCAAAGTTAGGTGCCTTACTCTGCTGATCCACACCTGCCATGGCTTTTTAAAGACCTTGTCTAGTGGTAGTTTAGTTTATGTATGAATACTGTCCCTAACATTTGCAGATTTTAGCATGGACTAGTCTTGTTAGAGTATGTATTCTTTTTGAGAATAGTTCTTCAGAAGTGTTCATATTGTGGTGATGAATAGCATAAAAATTGGATTGGATTTGGTAATTACTGGCAAGTAGTTTTCCTTCAGTTTCTAGCTGATATGGGTAAGGTAACTTGTCTGCAATAGAACAGAATCAATTACTAATATTGCCTCTTTTCAGTTATTTATATGTCTTTCTGAGAAACAGAGCAATTGACTTATTTTTAGATGTGGTTTCAAAACTGAAGAAGGCATTAGGAATGCCTTTGTATGGTAATTTAATTTCTGTATGCTCATATAATTATTTATGGAATTAAAAATATTTGAGCTGAATAAGGCGTCCACATTAGTGGTATAAATGGATGGAAAACTAATACTTGCATTTTCTCTTTTTCCAAACTTTAGGGGGAACACAGAGATTACCTCGCACAATTGGAGTGTCTTTGGCAAAAGAACTAATCTTCTCTGCGCGTATTGTAGATGGTGAGGAAGCAAAATCAATAGGATTGATTAGCCATGTGGTAGAACAGAATGAAGCAGGGGATGCTGCATACAGAAGAGCATTAGCTCTGGCAAAAGAATTTTTACCTCAGGTAAAATAAATTGTTTTGAATTTAGTTTTTATTTTTTGACAAACATTAAAACTGAAAAAGAACCATCTCTAATAAGAAAAACTGTCATGAAGTTACGTATTAGAGCCATTCTAGTTATGTGGACTGCAACTGGGAGTTTTCTCTTGTGGTGTTATTTGATAATTATTTCATGGTAAAGCAAAAATCCTTTGTCATGGTTTGGTCTATGTTTGTTTTGCGTGTTTTCACTTTCAAGTGTTAAGGGAAAAAGGGTACAGTTGTGGCTTTTTGGTAAAGTGTTTATCTCAATAGTTTATTCTATTGCTGTTGAATGCTTCAGAAGAGAGGTAAAAAGGTCCGTATGAAAGTGGACATCTCAGTGTAACTTTTATTTTGAAAACATAAGGCTAAATGTAATTTCAGTATTAAAGCAAAACCCATTTACTCGTAGAAAGTTTGCTTTCTGTCCTTTTTATATAAACCTGATGAAAGAATCATGCTTTTATTATCATTCAAAGTGACATCCTTTCCCTGTCTTTCATAAAAAAAATTGAAATGGGATTTGCTAAATCCCTGTGCTTTAGAACTTGAAAATTTCAGTAAAAAGTTTTAAGTATGACCCTTACAGGAGTGTTTGTGTTTGCTTATGGCTGCCTGTTCCCCTGTTGCTATAGACTGCCAGCTGTTTGTTCAGAGCAGGATAAAACTACTTTTCAAGTGGAGTCTCCCAGGTAGAAAATTCATAGGAGACAGAAGAAGAAAATAGTAAACCATTTTATTGGATTAGAAGTGTCAGAATTAAAATTTTTCACTGAAGGTGGATTACAGATTACAGATTAAATACAGCATTAACATTGGTAATTTTTTGTCTTTAACACCCTCATAGACAAATGTGAGAAATACAGTGAAAATTTTAACATGCAGGGATTCTGAAAGGTATATTTATAGTTAAAACTTCGCATTGGAACCAACTCTAAAGCATTTGGCTTTTCCCAGAGCATCAGGACACTTTTCTAAAGCAGTGTCTGAACTTTGACAAGCTGGTGGTAATGGATAGGCACAAGAGTGAGACGATTCCCAAAGATGTCTTCCTGTTCTACAGCACCTTGGAGGAGGAGGATGGGAATCCCTTTGCTTGCTGGGGACTTCAGTTGCTCCGAGAAGACTGTCATCACTTGACCAAGTGTAGGCTTTGCAGCAATATATTTTAAGCTTAAAGCTGCATCAGTTAATTTTATTTCATTATCACATCTTTTTAGGTGTCTCCATTGTATCACAACAGGGATACAAGATTGACATTGTGAAAGCCTGTACTGATGTCACTTAAAATGGCCATTCTGAGCCTTGTTTTGAAGGAAACTGACCAAGGCTGACAACAGTGGAGATTCTCAGCACCTTTGAAACATAAACCAAACACACTGCTTTAATTAGTTTCTTCTGAAAAAAGCATACTTTCATTCCTTCTTGATATTGAAACTGTGGAGACTGAAACTAAGTTTGCAAGCGTCTATTGTAATGATACAGTTTATGATATTTGATATATCTACTATAAATGTGATGAATGTCCAAAGTCTAGAAGATCCCCATGTAAGAACAATAATGTGCAGATTCTTCACTGCATTATCTTGTACATTTTGATGGCATGTAAATGATCTTTTTCTTTCATTTTAGGGACCAGTAGCAATGAGAGTTGCAAAACTGGCCATCAATCAGGGAATGGAGGTAAGGGTCTGTACTTTTCTAAGAGTAAGTAGAAGTCAGACTGGCAACAGGTATACTGTGGTAGAACTGGTTTTTTATTGTCTTTCAAAATTTATTTAGTCAAAACTTTTTCAAAGATGAAATGCGATTTTTGTATGTCTCAGACTCTTGAGAGTAGGGTTGATGCTGTTTTCTGTAATGAGGCTTAGTAAGCTTGTGACTATCCAGAAGTAATGCACTCAGCTAATGATTAATACTAGAAAGTAAACATAAACTACTATGAACAAGTTGCCTTTTATGGAAGAAAACCTGAAAGTCATAGTCTATCAAGCTTGTCAATACTCTCAGTGTTTAGTAACTAATACAGTTAAAGGCCAAAAGGCATGTTACTTATTTTTAATAGTTTAATAGAGGTTAGTGTTAAAATTAAATCTGGAGTCTGATTTCATACTTGATTCTGATTGCCACTCCTTCTTGAACACTATTGACGTAGCTCTAAAGCTTGTTAAAATCCAGTCCTGAATACGCCTCTACATGTGTTTTACTTCAGACTTGTGAATCATCTTGCTAAGCTCAGCAGGACTATTCATATTTAAAGTTAAGCACATGCATAAGCTCTGCACCAGGACACTATAGCTCAACCAGATTTAAGAATGGACCTCTTAAAAGTCTCAAAATCAACCAATAATGTAGTTGAGTTCAGCAAAAGCATGCCACCAGCAAGTGTTGGCCTGAGAACCAGACTCAAATACTAGTGTGCAAAAAGTGTGTTTGTTAGGTTTCCACAGCAAGTTATGCTGGAATTCAAGATTTATTTCAGTGGTATCCAAGGTTCAGAATGCTACAAGCTAAATTATCTACTTACCACATATAGTGGACTGGAAGGTCAAAATCATGATGTTTATAGAATTAGGGACAACAGGGTTAGAAGGATTCTGAATGATCACCTAGTTCAGTCTTGAGGCTCCAAGACCAATGGAGCCAAACGTTTATTCAAGCTGTTGTTACAAAACTTCCATGGCAGAAATGTCACAGTTTCCTTTGGTAGGCTGTCCTATAGTTTATCTCCCCTTCACAAACTGTTTGTGGTGCATAGCCATAGTCCATTCATTAGCCATGTGGAGAGCTGGTAAGTTCTGCAGCATCTGACGCTTAAAATAGGCAGAGAATTATTGGGGGGAAAATTCATCCTTTTCAGCTGTTCAGACCCTCTTACAAATAAAAAAAATGTTATTAAAACTAGGTGATGATTCAGGATGGTTGTTGTCCTCTCTATTTTAAATCACTTTAAAATTCAATTTATGTTTATTTTGTTGTACATGACATTTGAAGATAACTTGTTTCAGAACAATTTTTAAATAATCATGCAGTACATTAAATCTTTCCCCCTGTAGTACATGATATGATTACAAATGTGCAAGTAGCTAATGGTTTTTAGTCTAGATGATTTGTAGTGAAGAGCATACATTGTTTTGACAGTCTATTACATACTAATTGTATTGCCAAATAAGGAAACTGTTACAGAAATACTAACCACTCTCAGCACATGGCAGTGTAGCAATTCTATGTTCAAAAGTGTTTTAGTATGTGGCATATAAAAACACAGTACTTGTTAGCTGTCAGGAAATAATATAGTAAATATACAAATACACTTTTAAAAAATACTGCATTTTTTTCCTCAGGTCGACTTAGTAACAGGTTTAGCAATTGAAGAAGCTTGTTACGCTCAGGTATGTAACTATGATTACACAAAAAACCCCCAGAAAACAGGCTTTGTGGGTGCCTGTTACAAAACATGAAGAAATTCAACTAGAAATCGCTCTATGATCTCTTCTACATTTAGACCTTCCTTCTACTTTGGTTTTGTAAGGTATTTAAGGATGGAGGTGTAGTTTAGGACAAAAACATCTCCCTGCCAAGACTGTTATGGTGAAGGTCATGAAGCACTACTACTCATACACTTCACCAGTCATACACTGCTATGCATCTGGTCAAAAACTACATTGCTTTTGCTTGCCTTTTTTTTTTTGTTGTTGTTTAACATGAAACAACTTGAAGGACACTTCTGTAACATGTGCCACTAATGGTGTGTGCTCTAACCACTGAAAAACAAGAACAACCTCTTTGCCATGAAAGCATGGGAATAACGTATTTGAGTGAGTTTGTTCTTGGACATTGAGACAAGTTTTTAATCATGGAAATAGAAGCATCAGCTTTAGGTACTTATTCAGAATATATGGTGATCTGATCGATAACCATCCCTCTCCCCATTTCCCCAAACAAAGCAGAATGCCAAAACAAAACACCAAAATCTCATAAACAAACCTGGAAGAGCTTCACAGTCATCTGTCTGGAGAAAAGATACTCTTTCTTTTCCCAGATTGTTTCACAGTCTTATATTGTGGCTTTGAAGTGTCTGGTACTTCCCCGTATCTGACCAGATATTTTAGTTTTAATTTTAGTTTTGTGTTATATTTTGCACATTGGATACATTGGAGAACTAGGATTTGTATGAAAACACTTCTCTTGGTATTGTTTTTGGTGTCAATAATGAATTGTTGCTCTGCTCATTGCAGACTATTCCAACAAAAGATAGAATTGAAGGCCTTCTTGCATTTAAGGAGAAGAGACCTCCTCGCTACAAGGGAGAATAAAAGAAGCTGATGCCTTTAAAATACAGTGAGATAAAAGTACTGCTGTGAGGACCATTAAGGTGCACCTGCATCTGCACCTGGAGTATCACAACCACCAAAGTAAAATCCAACCATACTGATGTTACAACATACATGAATGTGTCCATACTTGTACTGGGCCCGGCCAGAAATGTGTGTCAGCTCATGCTCATTACCATTTCTGAAGGCTGATATGTGTATTTGCAAGGTCACAGGTTCATGCAGCATTCTTAAAATTTCACATGTATGAAACTTACCATTCCACAATTGAAATAGCTCTGTAAATTCTTTATATATACAAAACCTGTATGTGATGTGAAGTATAAATCTGCTGTATCATTTTATCAAAACAAAAGCGACTACTGAATACCAAAAGTAAGAAATTGTGCCAAATATGCATTGGAATGATTCTGTATGTCAGTAAAAATTATATTTGCGTATTCTACCTGAATATGTACGTTATAAATAAAGCTAAGGGAAATGAAAAGGATTATTGCTTGGAAAATGTTAAGCTTATTTATCTGACTTACATTATTCTAGTAAAACGAAGTTAATTTTAGCACGTAATGGTGTCCTTTGGATGATGTCATTGCCATTATGTTAATTCAACTGTATTAAATGAAGACATTTTCAAGGCCAGCCTTTAATTATGCATTCTTGTATGTTAAACCTGGCTTTGTCTTGCATTCTTCCAGCGTACCATCTGATCAGCACTGTCTGCTGTAAAGAAACTTGTATTCCACTTGCCCCAGATATTTTAGTTTTTTTATGATTGTATTAAAGATTGTTGTGCAGGGATGTGACTAATGTGCTGTTAAAGAAACTAGAATTCTCTTCTTCTCCAGAATATTCCTTCTGGAGGTCCTAATAATGTATATTTATATATAATGGGGATGATACTGAAATGTTCTTTATTCTGTGGCAGCCTCAGGGTTCTTTTCGTATGCTGAAAGAGAAATCCAGTAGGTTACAAGGTGGGAAAACTGTTGTGATTCTTACTGTATGTTCACTGTGGACATGGCATATACAGCAAATGCCTGGAAATAACCTTTTAGAAAGTATTTTTGTTAACTTGACTGGAAAATAAACATGGCTTAGCAGTCAAAGGCTGTGTTTTTATATGAAAACAAATTTCTTCGTGTTTGGTTACTACTGGCTCACAAAACTTGTGTATGCTCTGCTGTTTCTGCAACTTTAACTATGGTCACTGTCCATATCTATGATGATAAAGCATCTGATCAACATGAAATGACAAGAACTCATTTAAATTCATATTTAGACATATCATTACATGTAAATTGATTATAACTGGTAGAGCACACACTTTGTTGACTGGTAAACTTGCTGAGTCTATCATTTCACGCATGATAATTTGCAAATAATTTACTGGTTTTTGTTTTGATAGTAATTTAAAGCCTAGAGGGTCATTTTCTCATGTTTTTTAAATGCTAACATGTCATTTTCATTTTTACTGAGTAGGAAATAATTATGTTAATAGGAGAAAAAATACTAAGCCTCTGCTGATGTGCTTCTGTTTCATAACTTTGATACACAGTCCAGTTGCTGAGCTGACTCTTTTTTTTCTAACAAGGACTGATTAAGTAGCTTCTATGAATGTCTGTTTTAAAAAATATAATAACTTTAAATACTGTAGCATCAGACTGTGACAATTCATGCCTTTAACTAGTAGTTTTGATCTCAGGAAATAATTTTGCTGTCACAGTGGTCTCTCCATTGCTTTTCTCAGGAGAAGATACTGTCATACTGTAGCAATTTGAGTGCCGCCTTTGAAGTCAACAGCTTGAATATTATTACAAAGTGAGTACCAGTAGAACAATTTTTAAAGGTATTTTCTAGTGATTTTGAAATAATCTGAAAGGAACAATATTTTAGCTAAAGAAGTGTTAATCACTTACTGTCTCTATTATTAAGTGACACGTTATGATGGCTGCAGTGCTTGTGATTAATAGCAATATTAGATTTCTTCTTCCACAAGAGGGTCATTTGTCACAGAAATGCTCTTATAAAGGCTTTTCCCTTTGAAAGTTATGTTCTGGCAGATCTACCTTCAAGTGCTTAGGCTCAGCTGTTTCAGTTCCTGGTAAAGCCGTGCTTTTCTCCCCAGTACCTCATGGGTGACTGAGCCACAGTCCCAGCTTGATTCCTTAAAGTTTATCTCATGCTCCCTAGTTGTAAGCAGCTTTTTCTCCTGCTCTGGCTGAGCTCAGGTGGATAGTGACTACTTCTGCACTGCTCCACAGAGCTGGATATTGAAAAGCTGTAATACAGGTAGGTCTGTTTTCCTTCAGCTGACTGCCTCTCAACAGTATAAGTGCAAGTTCAACTTACTAAATTGCCTAGAAGTACTCAGTTTCATGTAGAAATTAATGTGTGGCTTTATATAACACATATCCTTTTAGCCTTTAATCTATGAAAGCAATTGTATTTTCAATATTGTTGAAGTAACTCACATTCTTACTTGTTATACTACATTTCTGGATGTTTTCAGAATTTTCTGATGTCATCAACCACTTCAGTGCTTTTGAGTAGCTCACCTGCTCTGAAGAAATACAGTGTTTTATTATTATAAGGTTCTGTAATAATACAGGTAAGAGCCCTTGGAGGATGGAGCATTTCCATGAAATTTACAGAGCCATTTGTGCCAAATTGTTGTGGAAATTTGGTCAGTTTATGTGCAATTACTCATAGTTCTATACCAAGGTTCATATCAATGCTTTTCTAGAACTGCTTTTAAGCAGCTGCATTCAGAATAGTAAACAGCAGGATATATCATTTGCAGCTGTTTTATATTTTTCTCAGTCATTGCTCCTAAATGCATTTAACCATAATCAGATTCATTGGACAAAATAAAAAATAGCATGTCTGCCCATCACAGGAGAGAGCAGACTATCATGCTACTTGGAATCTGGTTTTCAGAGACTTAGTGAGCACAATAGGGGGCTTGGAAGTAGTGACACTTCACGTACCAAAACCAACTCATAGTATGCAAATAAAAAGAGTAAGTGAAACAATTTATTATTAAACTTAGTTTTTCTTCCATTGTCTTTCCATGCAGGAAAAATCGCTGAAAATGTGTCTACTAAGATAAGAGAGAGGGTTTATTTACTATTAAAAATATAATTGAAAACCATTGGTATTTTGTGCAGTGGATATTGAACAAGATATGCCTTCATGTCTCATTTGTGGGATTTTGGCCTTGTTCTAGCAACTAATGAGACTGTTGAGGAGCCGTGGGGCTTCATTGCCTAGTGAGGCTGATAACAGTCAGTGTAGTCAGGGTGTGATAATAATCATGATGATGTGGTTATTTTGAGATGTTCTTTTTCTGCACACTTTCAGAAAGACAACTATTGCCAAAATTGAGAAAAAGGAGAATAAATCTAAAGGAGACATGTTCAGCTAAAGGTAATTAAATTCCTCTTGTATATTTTGAAAGATTACAAAGACTCATTTTTCTGTTTGCGCCTTTTTCTGTTGACTTTGCTTTTCCTCAAGTCTGGAACTGGGACACCAGGATGCAGGGAACACTTTTAGGAATTTTTATGGGTTGTTTTCACTTTAAGTATATTCATATTTTATAAGCAAAGCTAGGAAAGTTTTAAACATTTTCCTGAAAGATTTTTGAAGGATGCAATCAGAAATTATTGTATTATCACCAAAGATTAGGTGGCATACCTTTTTTATTACAGATATAAATCATGTTCACTTTCAACCTTGAAACAGAGTTGAGTAGAAGTTTCCTGTTAGGAAGAATGTGCTGTGTTTGTGTAATGTATTCATTATGTGTTATAGTATGTATGTTTTTATATTGACATGTTAAAGGCATGCACATGCATGTGTATGTGTGTATGCATATGTGTACGTATAACATTTTTCAGACAGGCAGGCGAGACCAAGCCGCCTCAGGATACGATAATACTATTCTATTCCTGGAAGTTTTGCATTTGTTTGTGCAAGAGCACTACCAGCAGAAACCTTGAACCCTGCAGAGCATGTGCTGTGACTGCTGCAAGTGGCCAGCCATACTTCTAGCATGGAATTTGTCTTAACACGGAAGTTCTGCCACAGAAGCAGCAGTCAAGTAGCTGTTGGGGGGATGTGTGTATTTTACCCTTTTATCTCGTTGCGCACATCTGGTAGTTCAAGGCTGGAATAAACATAGCAGAAGTTGAAGTGAGTTCTAAATTTCAACAAAGGTGTGGCATCCAGATAGCACATTCCTCCCAGTCCTATACTATTGTTTGTTTCTGCAGTTTGGAGAGGCCTCCTGCAGTCATGAGCAGCTCATTAACCGGCAACTGTCGTAGACTGTAAGATCAGTCTCCACACACCCCCCTTAAATAAGCCTAGACCTAGATATCATCTTCAAATTTTATCTAGTACATAATTCTTCCAAGGACACTCATTCACATGGGAAGAAATATGAAGTATGTTTAAAGAATTTATTACAGAGGGTGTGAACATTCTATGTCAGAGCTAAATTCTGTTGCAATATTTGAGTTCAAAATGCTACATTAACCCTCTAAGGCATAGTCTCTACATGTGTGTTTATAAAGTCTTCAAAGTTCTGGCTAGTGACTACTACTCTTTGATTATAATTTCTAAAACATATGCTAATAAAGCTTTTGTAACATTAAAGAGATGAGAATATGTTGCAGTTTTCTTGTTGCATAATATAACTGCTTTCAGAACAACATGAAAAGTTGAGTATTTTTTTTATGTAACTTACACATCAAATTGTTGCTTCTTTATTCTAGCAACTGCTAATTGATTTAACATTTTCCTTTAAGCATAAGGGACTTTGTGATATCATCTTTGGCTCAACTGTTTCTAGCATGTTACAAAATCTGATGCCAGTTGTACAAATTTTTAAAAAAATGTGTCTTTTTCATGCAGCTTAGAAACACAAAATTTAAAATCTTAACTGTAAGGATAGTGTTATGAAGGTTGTGCTTTCATTACATATAAATATCTCATAAAATAAATAGGTCTGTGTGCCTGTGTGGAAAGAGTTCAGACTCTTTCTCTCTTTGTGTAATGAGTATTCTGCTGGGACTGCTGTCTTCAAAGCTGTCTGTAGCTGAACGATTTTTGTAAATACATAAAAGTATCCACAGCTAGTGACTACTCAGGGTTCAGTCTGTGGTTCATGTTGTCCTTTTGACTTGCCTCCTCTTCAAAGTAATGGTGAAAGGAGGAGAGAGCTAGGGAATGTGCTTCTGAGAAGCAGTGGGTTTCGGAAGGGTGGATAGGAGAGATGGGTTGTAGGGTGTGTTCAGGCTGCATGTTTAAATCAAAGTCCATTTCAACACAGTCATTTCCAATATCTTCATGAGCAGCTCCACAAAGTAGATTTTTCTGTATTGGTTGGTTGCAGCATCTGAGCTTTATAACCTAATGACTGGTAGAAATTATAACGTCCGAACATGATTCACAGACTATCTGTATAAGATACAAAAGATAGGAGCCACAAATATGGTATAATGAGAAGGGTTCTGCCTAAGTTACCAGTTTGTAAGTGAACATGTGGACATAGTTTTTCCCCAATTTGTGTGGAATGAAATCCCTTTCTTCACTTTGGATTCTTGCCCTTTTTTCCAGATCTTAGCTGGGATCAGTCCTTTTTTGAAAAAGTGAAGAAGATATGCTGCAGCCCTTCAGTCTGTCTAATTATTCAGTAGTTGAAGGATTTGCGAAACACCACAGCAAATCAGTTTCTGCTCTCTCCTTTCACTTAATTGACCTGAAGTCAGAACTCCCGCAGGAGCGACCTGGTCACTGGATGCTGTTAGTTATTCCTGATAAAACTTTTCTACTTGAATTACTTATTCTACAAGTTAATATACTGAGATGTAGAGATAATGACCTATTACTTTAGAAAGGGAAGGCCTGTCTTGCCGTCCCTCATTCAGCAAGTATCACACTGTTCATTTAATAGGACAAGAATCCCGCTCACTTTCCTGTCATCCCCAGCACCTCCTTTGCACTGTTCACAGTTCTGTCTGCCAAGGGGGAAGATGCCTACTGTGTCAGACTCCTTAGGTGTGAAAGGTATAATTCATAAATCCTGAAAGACCTAATTGCC